AACTGATTTGTCATGATATTCTGACATCAAACTGATTTCTCATGATATTCTGACATCAAATATGATTTCTCATGATATTCTGACATCAAACTGATTTGTTATGATATTCTGACACCAAATATGATTTGTCATGATATTCTGACATCAAACTGATTTGTCATGATATTCTGACATCAAATATGATTTGTCATATTCTGACATCAAACTGATTTGTCATGATATTCTGACATCAAACTGATTTGTCATGATATTGTGACATCAAACTGATTTGTCATGATATTCTGACACCAAATATGATTTGTCATGATATTCTGACATCAAACTGATTTGTCATGATATTGTGACACCAACCTGATTTGTCATGATATTGTGACACCAACCTGATTTGTCATGATATTGTGACATCAAACTGATTTGTCATGATATTGTGACACCAACCTGATTTGTCATGATATTGTGACACCAACCTGATTTGTCATGATATTCTGACACCAACCTGATTTGTCATGATATTCTGACACCAACCTGATTTGTCATGATATTGTGGACACCAAACTGATTTGTCATATGCCTATTGCTCAGTTGACAATTAAATGTATAGTTTTGGCCTGAGAAGGAGACAAATTCGCAGTCCGAAAACGGGGACTTATGTTTTGACCTCCGTGTGTGTGTGCATGCGTGCGTCTGTGCGTGCGTCCGGACCTGTATCTTAGAAATGCCTGGACCAATCACAATCAAACTTCACACATACATCATACATGGTATCATACATATGCACGTCAATTTGTTTAACGATCTGATTCAAGATGACCGAATGGTGGCCATTTTTGTGCTAAAAATCATCAAAATCAAGCATTTTCGGCTGTTTACAGATGGATTTTGTTCAAAATTGGTATATACATTAGACATTATAGGACCTTGATTCACATCATTTTGTTTTACAATCTGATTCAAGATGGCCGAATGACGGCCATTTTTGTGCTAAAAAATCATAAAAATCAAGCATTTCTCGGCTGTTTACTGATGGATTTTGTTCAAACTTGGTGTATACATTAGACGTTATGGGACCTTGATGCAAATAATTTTGTTTTTCAGATTAGAAAAACATATCATATGTCTGACTTGCCTGACTTGCTTTCACTGATTATGTTCAAATTTTAAATATTCATTATACATCATGTCATAGATAGACAGATATATTGGTTTGACGATCCTATTCAAAATGGCCGAATGGTAGTCATTTTTGTGCTAAAAAAATTATCAAATATCAAGCATTTCTGGCATTTATAGATGGATTTTGTTCAAACTTGGTACATATATTAGACATTACAGATTTCTGATGCACATTTATTTTTCAGATCAGATTCAAAATGGCTGTCTGGCGGTCATTTTGTTTTAATGATTGGGCTTCAAGAGCCATATCTTTTAAATGCTTTGACTTTGATTATATTCAAATTTGATATATTCGTTATACATCATGTTATATATATACATGTATTCAAAATGGCTGATTTTGAATGCAATTCCAGAGCAATATCTCTCAATATGGACAAGTACTTGTTTGATGATCAGATACAAATGTCAATCATTTTTATGTTAAAAAATCATATTCCTGACATGGTTATATTCCAGCTATATTACTATAAACAAAACTATATATCTTAAATTTGATAACTAACGGGGACTGTGCCATGCATGGCTTCTTTTTTACTGTAATGAATCTAAAGTTTTGTCAATTTTTATATTAGCATGAATTTATACTATAAATCATTTTTACTTCCATGACTACGAGTGTATGTTATTTAAACTTTCTTTAATTAATGGGTGTATTTAGACAGGTTCAGTTTGTAGGGTTTCATTATCATATAGGTGTCATTGGGTATCATATGGGTGTCATTGGGTATGCTAGTTTATTTCAACATTTGGTGATTAGCTGGGTCTCAATGCATGCTATTGTATATGTCAAAGCATTGTATTCTTACATCATGCATTTGTTATTTCATGACATCAGCATCCCGAAGATATTAGTTATCTGGGCGTAAGTACATGAATACCTGCATAGTTTATTCATGTTTAGGGGCATACCTCTATGTTTATGCTTTTTCATGAAAAATTAATGAATGCAATTAATTGATAAGCAGGAGAAAATAATGGCAGCTGCAACTGTATTTTATTCATGTTTAGGGCAAAGTAATTGACTGCAACTATAAATTATTCATGTTCAAGGCAAAGTACTAGTATATATGATTACCTATTTATTTCAATAGCAAAGTAATGATTGCAACTATAATTTATTCATGTTTTTGGCAATGTATATGACTTTTTGATAGTTTATTAATGTTTAGGAGAAATGACTGCAATTATAGTTTATTCATGTTTAGGGGAAATGACTGCAATTATAGTTTATTCATGTTTAGGGGAAATGACTGCAATTATAGTTTATTCATGTTTAGGAGAATGTGCAGTGGAGGGCACAAAGCTCAAAATTTTCTCATGGACTTGTTTACAGCTATTCAAATTTGAGAACTCAATAAGGATTCTCTCTAGAGCTAAATGCCCATAATGTGCTCATGTCTTCATGTAACCTAGCAACTGTGATCGCTCACTTAGTTAAAATGAGGCATAGCTGATTGGATTATGTTGAACTAATTAAATATATTTAAAACTAATGATGTCACAATGTCTGGATTAGTCAACTAGAATTCTATTTTGATGTGTATATGTTTAAAAGGTTTCTAATGACCCTAGTTTTCTGCCCTTCACTGTAAATGGCTACAACTATAATTTATTCATGTCTTAGGCAAAATATGTGACTGTCGCTAAAGTTTTAATTCATGTTTAGGAGACAATGTGTTATGCCATTTTTAGTATACCAAACTGTCGTGACTGTATTAGTATTCATTGTCATTTGTGTTGTCTCCATGGTTACCATGCATGCTCATTTCCATCTTTTTGTTCCATTTAGGAAGAGAAGTCGGTGAGTTTTTCATCATGCCTTCGTAGTCATTAATTCACCAAATCTTGTAAACTTGTTAAAATTGACAAAAAATGTTTTGAATGCATCTACAATTTATTCATGTTTATGGGAAAGTAAATGATTGAATCTGTAGTTTATTTGTGTTTAGGGCAAAGTAAATATTTGTCACTGTAGTTTATTGATGTTTGATGCAAAGTAAATGACTGCAACTGCAATTTTAGTGATAATTATACATGCTATGCACATTATAATTAACATATAATGCTTATAGAAAACTTAATAACATTTTAATGACATATCAACTATGAGGTGACACATCTCCTACTGGTATCTGGGTAAAGATTGCATTTCATCCAATTAGCAATGTAAAGATAAAATAGGGGAGGGCTGGCTTGCTATGAAAATGGTCAGCTGACAAAGGTGATACCAGAAAGGTGGCCATTCATTGCTGGAATGTAGGGAATTTTTTATCTTGCTAAAAAACACATTAAAAGTTATGACCCGTTTTGTATTGCTGTCTTTACTCCATTAGTAGCCCATACACGTATATAAATGACACACAGTCTATGGCCAAATTAAGTAATTATTTAAATTATATACTATTTGATAAATTTAATTTTGGGTTTATATACACTTTTAGTAAAGCTATTATGGGATTGGTTCACTTAGAGACCAGGGATTGTGTTAACCACTATTTCCATTTTACCAAGTCATAGCAATTTTGGGAAAGCGTTCCTTTGTACTCCACCCCTAATCCTGAATCTAACCCCTTCCAAGCCCCCCTCCTCCTTAATGTAAATGCCTTTTGTGGATAACTATATGTGTTAGGGTTTGGAGAAATCCTTATTTTGTGACTAATTTGGGTCCCAACTCTGATAGAAACTCATGAATTTAATTTTCTATGTACAGAAGTGTTTTATGAAAAAGTTACATAATTACATTATGTTGATAATGACCATTGATTTATGTTTTTAGGAACAGCAGGAAAAGCTAGAACAGCAGGGAGATGTTGGACCTGTTGATGCCTTGGATCTAGACAATCAAATACCGGATACTCTGACAACTGTAAATGGTAATATTGGTGAGGGTCAAATGCCAAATGGAGACTTTCAGGGCCCAACTGGTTAGTCAAAATATATAATCTTTTTCACTCTTCTTTTGTATGTAATATATGCATAAATAAATCACTATGCGTTACAACACGATCATACAGTGACTATATGTTCAGATCATTGCTTTCTGTTGTATAAGGTTTTCAAAACCAATTATCTTGAGTCTATAAATAATTGTCAATATATATCATAAGAGCATGGATTAGACAAACAATGAATTTGAATTTTGAGAAAAATTGTAATTGAAGGCGAATCTGACATGTATCTTACATTGTTATGTGTCGTATTGTTGATCACCTTGGTGTACCTGACTGCTTACACCACTGTCATTTCTGTAGATTCCTTGACTGTTATCAATGAAACTGGTAATCAAGATGGAAAAAAATTCAAAAATGTTGCCACAGGAGTTAAACTAGCTGTAAAATTATCACCCAAGCCTCATAAAAAAGGAAAGAAAAGTAATGCTGCTCAGATGAAGGTATTATCTTTTTCTTTGTAAACTCTACTCATTGTTTTTGGTGTAAGCATGTTAACTATGGTCTTCGTGTTGCAACAAATTGTGACACAATTAACAGAGCATGATGGATAATTTGTGGGAACAGGGTAAAAATGATTATGCAATAAGTGCATGGTACTGGGTAAAAATGGTTATGCAATAAGTGCATAGTTAGTGGAGACTGTGCATGATATGATTCCACATGGTTACTTACAGAAATACTCCATGTGAAAAATGTTTAGTTTTCTACTAATGATTGGTGCTAAGAGCTCATTTAAGTATTCATCATCACCCAATCAAATTGAGTAAATGAGCAGTGAGGTCAAAGGTTATGTGATCTTTGTGTGTCTACTCTGCATGTTTTATATCTTATAGTAGTTTCATTTTTCAACATACCATACTATCATGACTGTAGTAGTTGTAGTATCCATTATCATTTGTGTTGTCTCCATGGTTACCATGCATGCTCATTTCCACATCTTTTTGTTCCATTTAGGAAGAGGAGTCGGTGAGTTTTCCATCATGCCAGTAGTCAGTAATTCACCTGATGTTTTAAAACATGCATAAAATTATGAAAATGTTTTTGATTTAAAAATATTTGATCTTGTGTGATGCTGTGACAACTCATTATTAATTTAAATAAACATGTCTTATTTTTTTCCAATATTATAAATTCCACCCTGCAAATTATAAGTTTTGTCAATTCTTGAGAAAAATCTGTTTCATTGAGATTTTTTTCCTCAAATTAGTTTCAGCGAAACTAAAGACATATAGTCTTTGCATGATCTCATTCAAGTTTCAATGGATACGGTATACTAGTATGGCGGTTGACTAGCAATAGTGAATTTGGAAGATGATTATACCGTACTTCCCCAATCATAAGCCCCTCCCCGAGTATAAGCCCAGCCCTCTGTTTTTTGACATTTAACAAGTTGAGGGCATCCCTGAGTATAGGCCAAGGATGTTTTTACCAGGCGTCAATGACATATGTTAAAATATGCATGTAAAAAGTGCATTTTATTGTGTAATAATCGTGATTGGTACTGTAGTTTGGTTCTCCTGCTTTCACGAGAAAACTCGCATGGCGGGTGTGTCCACCGAACTCTGCCAGATTTGAACTCGGCCGGTTTATGTGATTCCAGTCATATCATGATAAAAAATAAAATACTGAATGATGTTGTTGATTTCAGTGACGCAGCAGTGCTGTGTCATATCACCGTAATCAATCAAATACTGTACGATACATGGGCGACCAGCATTATTTTGTTGTTTATACATAGCAGAGCCAGATGGTCGATGATGCAATGTCTATGTTTCCGATGTAATGTCAGTGTCTTTTTGTAAACAGACATCACTACAATTGACAACAGTCACTTGGATTATTAGTCCCCATTCGGATGAAGTCCAAAAATAGTCCCCGGACTATTAATTTGGGTTCGTTCTGTTCATACGTACATACGACAATACATAATGTCTTACATATGCGCGTCAAGTTACTTTATGATCAGAAAAAATGGCCGACTGGCAGCTATTTTGGATGTAAAAATTGCTATTTCTGATACCTAAATGTGTTCGCAGCAGTTTCTCGGAGATGACTGGGCTGATTTGGATCAAAGCTGGTATGATGATCATACATATGTATTGGGTTATAGTTGCATGTCATATTTTTTCTGTGATTCAATCTAATATGGCTGACTTGTGGCCATTTTGTTTTTCATGATATCCTACTTTGCCATGAATGAAATGAACATTTCTGTTTAAATTTTGTACAAAGACAGTATACCAATAGGTACATCAACATGAACATTATTAGTTCCCATTCGGACGAAGTCCGAAAACGGGGACTTATAATTCGGTCTCCGTGCGTCCGTGCGTCCATCCGGAGTCATATCTCAGAATCCCTTGGGCCGATTCTGTTCATTCTTTGCATGTACCTAGTACTTTATGTGGGACATATGCACATGCAGTGGTTTAGCGATTCGATTCAAAATAGCCGACGGGCAGCCATCTTGTTTTTTGAAAATGTTGTATTTTGGACATGCTTTGTCAGTTTTCATTCAAACTTGGTACATAGATTATACATGTTAGGATACATGTCCATGATGATTTATTTCACAATTGGATCAAAGATGGCCGACTGGCAGCCATCTTATGTTTTGAAAATGTCGTATTTTGGACATCCTTTGTCAGTTTTCATTCAAATTTAGTACATAGATCATACATGTTAGGATACATGTCCCCGACCGTCCGTGAGTTGCTGAGTTTGTAGGATACATGTCCATGACGATTTATTTTGCAATTGGATCAAAGATGGTCGACTGGCAGGCATCTTGTTTTTGTTTTTTTATGCAGTATCTTGAACGTGCTCTGTCAGTTTTCATTCAAATTTGGCACATACATGTACTTTATACATGTTAGGATGCATATCCATGACAATTCGTTTCAAAATCTGGTCAAGGATGGCCGATTGACAGCCATCTGACTTTTTGGCCTTACTACTATATTTCCACAATTTATGTACCATTTTCATTCGTATTTGGCACACACATCATACATATTAGTATGTTTCATAATCAGATCAAAGATGGCTGAATAACGACTGTTTTTATTTTGGCCATATTACTATGACACGAAACACGTGTTTTGATGTAAATAAACAATCTGTTGTATACGCCACTTGGAACTCAAGTTTCAAGGACACGCTCGCGACAACCCCTCTGCTTTAATATGACGAGCACAAAGAGAACTTAACGGGGACTGTGTCATTTTCAATGACTTGTTTTTGGAATTTGATTCAATCTGACTAATGTCCAATTCTTACAAATCCATCTCCTATTAATGGTTTCAATCTAATCTCAATGACTTCATCAGCATCAAATTGATATGTCAGATCACAAATTTTGGACGGGGACTGTGTCATTAACAATGATTTGTTTTTTTATTTTTTGGAAACTTCACATTTCAGCGCTTACAACTGGCTGAGTTTGTCTATTTTTATCCGAGATAGGTTGTATTCTATGACGGCGAATGTACGGAACATGGTTTGCACATTTTCTATTCTGTTATTTACTCAGAATGAACCCCAATGCTGCAATACTGAGGTAATCCATATTTCTTTTGAGTAGTTGTTTTGAAACGCCAAAAATGGGATCGTCGAGTCGTGAAACCTGATCGTAGAACATCATTTTTCTTTTCTGAATAATCGTGTCCATTGAGACTATTACAAGTGGGGTGTGAACGAGCAAACTATTCTTCGATATGACTTGTTGGTGACCGTGAAGGTTTAAATACTTCATTCACTTTCAGTTTATCTTTAAAAAAATGCAAATCAACAGCTTTTAGGGAAAAATCACCGTTTTTTGTCGAAATCAGTGTTAACAGATAGTATTTTAAAATCACAGTAATTCACTTCCACATTGCATTGAAAAAATTACTTCGTCAATAATCGGAAAACTTTTTCTGTACATCAGCATTTTGATTGGTTAACGAAAGAAGTGACCTGTTAGGTCAAAGGAAGTTGTTTCAGGTCAAATCACGATGAAAAATATCATGGAGGAAATTGCTTTGTATTAAGAGATTGTGTACGATCGAAAAAATTCCATAAGATGATGATGATAAAGATCTTGCCTTCGATTGTTTTCCCACAGACCCTACCCATTTTTGCACTGTAAATTCAGACGGTACAATGTATGTAAACTGTATTGTAATAAAATATGTGTATGTTTCTTCATTGTAAAAAGTGTTGTGGAAATCAATGACGACTCGTTTCGCTTTTTTTTTCTCAAAAGACGTAATATTTCTCC